GATTGCATGAGAAGTACTTCACTTGTCTACTTGAAACAGAGCTGCAACTTTGTTTTCCCAAAGTGAAAAATCCTCTTTAATCTTTAATTAGTGGTAATTATTAACCACTTGATGTGGTCCGGTGTTGGAGCCAGAATGTGTTGCTGTTTAAGAAACTACAGGGAGTACAGGTGAAAATGAGTTGTCTAGCTCTGTGGGAGTTAATTCAACTGGTTAGTCTCCAGAGAGCCACATCATTTACACTGGATGCTGGATGCTGCAGTGCGTTTCTCTTCACTAACGTAATGTTCTGAGAAGTCAGACAAATTCAGACAATGACTGTAGGCAACCACAACAGCTAAGTGTTGAAGCCACTGTCAAGTACTTTACCATGCAGTTCCTCAAATGACTTTTTAGAAGTTAAAGGTAATAAAGATGTTTACATTCACTATTTCTTACCGAAATGCATTGTGTTTATCCTTAAGCCCTCATACATTTGTTGAATGCATTTCCTTCCTCTCATAGCAGATCAGATTCTTTCTTTCTTTCGTTTGTTGGCACAATGCTACATTTCTTGGACAGTTACGGCCACCATCACATCACCAGCTTGCATAGGCGTCCTTGCACTCACAAACTTCACAGGATACATTTGATGCATTAACTTCAATAGCAAAACTGCAACCTCTCTCAAGTCCCCACATTTGATTTTATGTTTACATCAGTAAATCAAAATGTGCCTTGGCGGTTATCTTGGAACTTGATTTAACTCGGTTAGATTGATGTGTATTTACAGGCTGAGCTTGTCGTGATTGACATGCGTCTCATCCTGTCACAGTCAGCTCTTGTGGTTGACATTGTACGTTGGTCCACCTCAGGCTCCAACCCTTTTGCTCAAAGTTGGATCATTTGGCTTCCACACCTGACCAGATGGGAACAAGCGTAAACATAAAACTCACTGTAGTAATCCGGCGGTGATGTATCAGACCCCGTGGGTACATTTGTCTTCAGTCTGCATGCTCATAACATCCCGATTGCGTCAGTCTGTCTGATACTGTACAGAATTAGAGCCTTTCGTTAAGATCTCACCCAGCTCTGGCTGTCAGTACAAAGGCAGTCACAAAAAACATCTCCCTCATATGCGTGCCTCTGCCAGATAAGCAGGAGTTGATCTCTTTTCATGAAACCAAGCATTTTACTAATTGGAGTGGCTGCACTGGAACAGAGTTGAAAGCAGGGCTGTGATATGCGACTGCTTTCTCATGAGATTGGAGGCCAGTTCTGTTGGCAGTAAGATGAGCCGCTGATTGCATCGCCTGCTCCACTCTCTCCACAGGCCTCTCAGATGGAGATGGAGAGTATTACTGGACAACAGCTCTCTGAAAGTACATTAAGATTACTGAGCTGAGCACATTAAGACAGACCACACAAACAGCATTACTCACCTCCCAGGTAGCAGGATGACAGCAAGTGGGAGAGAGTGAGACAGAGAGAGAGTAAACAGACTTTATTTGTTCGAGCTGTCTCCGGATCTAAATTGGTGTTATGAATTGCAGTGTGTTTGTACACGGTTGCCAACTCACACTTTTGGCATGAGTCGCCGGCTTTCAGACTTTGTCTCACGCTGCTCAAACTAATCTCACACAAGGAAACCTGGCAAGGCACTCGATCTTGAAAAAAAACATAGTTATATTGGTTAAATAGGCTTACTCTGCACACAAGACAGAGTCTGAGCAACAGGCTTTTATATCCTCATTTCAGCGCCAAGGTTGGTCCGTAAACATTACAAACCTCAAAACAACTAAAGACCTTTCATTTCTAGTTTTGCCTCATTCACTTTGCTCAATGCCTCTTAATGTGATTAGTGATGAGCCTGTAACAGGTTCATTAGAATCACCAGTGATCCCGAATGAAAGAGTACCATGGTCTTATGATGGCAATGCGTCATATTTTTAGTTTTACCGTGGTGCTGGCCTACACACCAGCACCTTATAAAAGGTACTGGCCATTGTATAAAAAGTGTAACGTCAATTGAATTAAGGGACGGTGGTATTGACAAAGTCTTTAAGTCTTTAAGTTTTTGGGTTGTCCGTTTGTCGTATACGGTATTCTCATAGACGGAATACCTCAGGAACGCCTGGATGGAAGTTCTACAAATTTGGCACAAACATCAACTTGGACTCAAGGTAGAACTGATTAGAATTTGATAGTCAAAGGTCACTGTTACCTCACAAAAGACGTTTATGGAATTCATGTGCTAATTACGACAATTTCACACAAATGTCTAATAGGATAAAATGATAAAATCTTGACATTTTCGAAAGTCATGAATGTAAACTGCAACTTGACATGTTTGCCGGAGGAATACAACCATAAGGCCGTAATTCTATTATTTTTTTAAGTGAGTAGGATCTTAAGTTTTGTTGTTGCTTACAACTGTTTGTAAGATCCTTTCATCTGTGTTTATCAAATACCTGTAGCCGTCACTCAGCAGCTGGAACGATATGTGCATCTCCAAAGTGAGAAAGGCACTACCTTCATTAATTATTCATAACTATTAATTATCCCCGACACAGCGACAGGATCGGTCAGGATCTAACGGATCTAATTGACCTTCTGTACTTTTCTCCACTTCAGGGGACAGGTAGACTTGTCACACACAGAACCCAGGTTGACAGGCTACAGTCAAATCACCCGTAGTCTCGCAAAGCCAGACCTAACTTCATAGTGCTGTGTCAGCGCTAAATAAAAGGTCTGGCTCCACACATCATCATTCTGGCTTGTTTTTTAATTCTTTCAGTCGTCTTGGGCGGCGCTAACAGAACGAGCACAGATACAGCAAAACCCTCGCAAAACAGGGTAGTGTCAAGATGCTAACCCTCGAGGTGCAAAACTCGGAGGGGAAAGGGAAGCGTAAGGGGAGGAGAATGCTGGCTGAAATACGTGGCCAATGGCAGGATGAGACCCGCTGTCGAGGTCCAGTGAGTCCGACTCAATCATCTGTGACATAACGAAACTGGCCGTTCTGATCTCACATAAAAGCTATGGGGAGATTTTTATTTTACTGTAAAAAGTTTTATTATTACTGGGATTTTTGGGGTTAACTGCTTAAATTCAAAGTTTCACAGTATTTTCAGCATTGTAGCATTATTATACGCATGAATACTTTCCCCATATACAGGACTTGACCTCTCTAATCATCAGATGAATAATCATCAGGTGAATAACAAAATATGGCAACTGTAACTGTGAAAATGCATTTTCTCTACACATGGATAGGTTTTTTACCGTTAAGAAAACTGTAAATTCAAGTTATGACATTTTTTTGTCAGCAACACAAACAATGTTTAAGGTGATTTATATGAATTATTTGAAGTACAATTGTATTGTGGGACTTAATGCTTCGTGGAGATGAACTTTTGTGGACCAGGTTTTGTAGGTTTGCAGGTGAATGGAATTTAATTTGTGGCGCTCACAGCATTGAAATTGATTTTTCCAGAATCGGTGCCCAATTCCATTGAAGTACATTTTTAATGGGGATATTTTCTCCTGAAGAAATAGTCCAGATGAAAACTGTTCAGAGTGAGATGTGCAGAAATGTTCTCCTCCATTGTATAGAGTACTTTTGCTTCCCCTGTTAATGGGTTTTTGGTTAGGTGCCTGAAATAAAGTTTGTGGATTTTAATATTTTGTAATACGAAATGAAATATGTCAGTAAATACCAGTAACAGGACGGTACGGAGGACACGGAAAATAGTAGCAGCACAGCAATCAAAGGCAGGGTCAGTGCCGCAGTTTCTCAGGGTATTTAATCAAACAAACTCCAAGTAACACAAAAAACAGAAAACCTAGCTCAGTCCAGAGCTCTATCTCAAAACTAGGAAAATTAAACTCTTTCAGCCAGGCCGCTAGCCGACAGGTTTCAACTATCTCCCAACCTTGAGATCTTGGGAAGAAGATCTGTTCCTCTTTCATCATGTCCTCTCTGATCAGCTTCCCTGCTTCGCATTTGTTCCTCTCCCTGATGAGGAGATCAGCTCCAGGTGTGTCTTTTCCCCACACCTGATCCCAATGCTCTCCTGAGGGAGTGGGTGGAGCCCTCTGGCTGGAATATAGATGCCTCTAATTACCCTGCCCCTCCGCCCCTTACAGTAATACCCCTCCTGTGAATTTTGAAGCTTTTACGGAACAAAATGTACTTGTGTTTGTCAATTTGTGTTTACCACATTTTCTGTAATAATCCAAAATCCAATGGTGGAAGCAGAAATCTTATTAAAGACAGGCTCGTCGAAAAAAACTTTTACCTTGTGGGGTAAAAGCTTTCCCAGCTAACTAGCTTGCTAACTGACAGCTAGCAAGCTAGTTAGCACGGTTGCTAATGGGACGTTAAGTTCACACAGAGTTATTTAGAGGATGTATTTCTATCGTCAACTCTCAACTGTCTGCAAATCATTCCTCTGCATGTTTATAGTCTGACAGAGGAAGTTAAATAAAGCGGGATCGCGCAGCACAGCTAATAAGCTGGACTCTGCTCTCTGCCTTCAGAGGTCAGCAGTGTCAAGACGACTTGATATTCTTCAGCGGAGCAAATTTACAGGTCAAAGTTCATTAAAGCTGAATTTAATGCACAACAATTAGCGCAGATTGACTCCACCGCTGTGAGCAAATCCACTGATTGCTGCGATTGTGTGTGACTGGGCCTTAATGCTGTCGCTGATATCTGTTATTAATGTATATATTTACATTTCCTGGTTAGTAGCCACACTTTGCGCAATGGCAACCTTATTGTGTGTGGTTCTCAGCAGGCTAAATCCTCAACACAGAAAAGGAGTCCATTTAAAGCTCTGCAGATCCAAGCGTTGTGATTTCAGGAGTTACTATAATTGACCACCTCTGACTGCCAAGCTGAAGCTGTGGGAGCTTGTTGGCGTGAGCCCAAGTGAGCCAACCTGCACATCTGAGTGTTTGTGTGATACAAATATGGCACACCGCTGATTATTTATTTTCTCCTTTTTTTACTCCAGAATGCGGGAGAGGGACCTACAGAGCATGTGCAGAAGGGCGCTGCTGCTGACCGTCTGTATGGTGTCTCTGTGGGGACAACTGACCAGTGCATCGTCACACAGAAGCCACATAGGTAAAGTACAACACTGCATGTGTTCCTCATTGCTATTTCTGCTGGGCATCTTGCCCAGACCACCCAAAGGCTGCTACTACTGGCTGCTACCAACAGTGTAGGTGGAGAGGCTGAGGATTAAAGAAACATACTGGTATTATTTTGTTAATTCACACTGTCCCTATTTCAGTCAATTCCCATGAAAAGTCAAAAAAATAATTACCAGTTTTTAATGTAGTTTCGAAAATAATGGGAGCTTTTGACTTCCAGGAGAGCTGGAGAACACACAGCAGCATCGACAGACCGTGGCAAATACACCAGCAGGATAGATGAGAAAAACAACAAACAAATATGAATTATACAATACATTGGCAGTATCTTTTAAGTGTCTTGCTGAATAGACTGTAATGACTTGAAATTGTTGAGAAAACAGAACATCATTCATTGATTGTCCCTGCATACCTACATTTATGAATTAATGGATTTTCCCAGCCATGTATGTTGAGACAATAAATAATAAATAAACTCTTTCTGTTCGTGTTTAACGCTTTTAAAAAAAAAAAGCTCCTAAAAATAGAAATTGTACAGCCATTTATTTTCACCTTGAATAATAAATCATCACAATAACACCGTGAGATGCATCATAGCAGATATGATACAGCCGATAATGTCATCATAAATAATATTATATCATCACTTGGAGGGTAAGTCCAATGGATTATAGTTCTCTCACTGACTGCATCCTGAGAAAACAATCAAAACCAATTCCTTACAGCTCAGGTCAGTAGCATGTGTGGGCCACAGTTCAACTCACTGACTTTTCCAACAGAAACTGATAGAATTAGCCAAGTGTTCTTGCGGTCTTTGCTCACCAGCAAAGCACAGATTTACCGTGAGGTTGCAGTCATGCAAGTCGAGAATCGCATGAAAAAAAGTAATACTAGTACATTAAGTGTGTGTATGCATGTGTGTGTGGCAGGGGACAATACCTTTCAATGTTATTTCCCTTAATGGAGAGATGGCCTTATCCCTGGGCTTATTGGTAGAAACTGTGACCGCACATTGAAATAATGAGCCTTGTTCCACTAGAGGCACACATTGGCTGGAGGGACACAGCTCCACGTTAGCTGAAAACAACAACATGACCAGCAAAAGAAAAGAAGTTTGATTCCATAGAAGTCTATGACAAAATGACTCAATGACAGCAAACATTGTGAACACGAGTTTATGGTCTCAATCGCTAGTTTCAGGTTTTCTTCAATATAGCATGATGTTCATTCAGTAAATTATGGTCCCATTTAGAGTGAAATGGACCTTAAAGCAGGGTATGCTTCCGGGGCGGGTTACCTTGTAATTGTTGCTACCACAGCGTTGTCCTATCTGGTAGTTGCCCGTGTTTTTGTCTCAGCGCTTGAACCCTTTCATATGTAGGCCGGTGAAATATTATATGACACCGGACACAAAACTATTTTTAGGGATCTTTATTTCTCGACTACTCTTAAAAGAGAAGAGTAGTATTAAAGAAATTGGGGATGTTGAACTGGTGATAGATTTAACAAAGGTGCTCCTGTACATTCAAACTTACACTGTAGACACAAATTCTCTCTTTAAATCCCTGGTCAGTAACTCAGTAACCTGTACAGTGCATTAATCTAGTGCACACTGTCAATGCATAAATAACTGTAATGGTAACTCTTCTGTTCGTAAAAAGAAAAGAAAACAAACAATACCACACAGTTAACTCTGAAATGAAAACATGAAACATTTGGTCCATTAACAAAGAGAATATACATATACTGTATGTCTCAATATACTCACAACTTCTTATCTTTCTGCTAGCTTAAATGCACATTTGGCGCCACGCACACCAATCCCATACAGCACTACACAAACGGGAATAAACATCTTCAGTACAGTACACACATTATGTTCTTAAACATGAAAGATAACAGAATGTATGTAGGATGGTCTATAACTGTTATTAGCAAACGTTATTAACCTTCTAGCTCTCTCCTGAATGCTCAGCACATGCTAATAACATCTGTAACGATCAGACCAATTTAATCACCATCGGCGCATTTAGCGTCAAACAATACATTTCCTGACTTCTATACACACATATTAACGTACATCTTTTGATCATTTTGTACAGAAATAACATTTAGAACATATTTACTTACACGGAAAACAACTAACGCTCCACAGGTTATCCGCTCGAAAAGAAAGACTTCACTTCCGGTTTCGCTCTTTATGTCCCAGCTTTCTCTGGAGTACAGCGCCCTGTAGTGGCTTTAGTGGCAACATCAGTTTTCCCACTAGGCTACACATAGTTTATTTTACCCCATGAAAGTTAATTCTAACCGTTTTGTTTACCTAAAAATGTCTATTTCAGCATTTGATTGATGGTGACAGACTTTGTCGATCTTTATACGTCACCCTCCGACTTCCTCCTTTGCTCCCGTCATAATTGCTATGACCATTAGAGGTTGCCGACTGACAATATTGAACCTCCCTACGGTGATCCAGTTTACCAATAGATGATTAGATGATTACCAATAGATGATGGTAACTCTCATCATCTATTGGTAGTTTTTCATGGTTACATCTAGTAGTTCACGTTAAGGGAAATGCTGCAACTTAAAATTGTATTATAGACAATGGTGTGGTAACAATATGGGAAATGCACTTTCCTATTTCAACACAACAATGCTTCTGTGCACAAAGTGAAGAAATGCTTTTCTGAGTTTAAAGAACTCAAACGGTCTGCACAGAGCTGATCCAAATCTCTTCCAATACCTTTGAAGTGGAACGCTGATAGCGATTCAGAACATCAGCGGTCAGCCTCACTAATGCTGTTTTGGCTGAATGGGAGAACTCCTGCAGCCAGGCTCCAAGGCTGTGAAAGCAGCATGAATGACCACCGCAACTCCATATCGCTCACGGGGCACCACATGCTTACTTTTCACCTTCTCATGAGATGATCTAACGCAGGGTTAGGCCACATGAGGCATGCGTGCCACCAGTGGCATACAAGACCAATGTCACACTATAGCCCTAAAAACTTCCTCCTATTGGCCCGTTTCATTCTCTCCAGAATTAGTTACGTTTATTGCTGGTGAACAAGATTGGTGGAAGTTAGTGTTAATGATTTCAACTCAGATGTGGATGCTTTCATAAGGATGGCAGCTGTCATATGTAATTAAAATGTGCTAATTATAGGAGACATTTGTTATTTTAATTTTTTTTATTTTACTACGCTCGTTGGCTATAGGGATGGAATAAATGTATAGATCCGTCTGAGATTTAATGTGGATGTGGTGTCAAAATGAACCTTAAGGTTGATAGGGCACACTGATAAACAAGAACATTAAAAAAAGGCACTTCACATCAAAAAGATTGCCGACCCCTGATCTAAACAATACATAAACATTTTTTGGAATACACTTGATGATTACTGACAGCAGAGTGGTAAATCCCACTTGTGACTGCCAACGTGTCGGATAAACAATTTCATCTTCAGGCGTACATCGCCGGCCCTTTGGTTTTGCATTCGTCCCGCTCTTGTGTTTTTTCCGTGCGTATCCCTGTGATTTATTAGGAGGGAGAGAGGGGGCCAATACAAGTAGCCCGGCCCCGTTCTCCCCGGGCTGCACTGACACTTAGGTAATCACGCCGCCCGTCCCTGAGCTACGGAGGTCAAGCCAAGGTGGACCCAGCAAACAAACCTCTTTAGCCCCTTTGTTTATTGAGGTGGGGGGCTTCGCCAAAGCAATTGAACCTTTCCCCATAGCCTGACTGGAGCAGGCTGAGCTTACAACGCGCACACATAACCCCTGTAAAAAGACCACTGCATCCCCCAGAGCACCATCTGCATTCATTAGCCAGTCATGAAAGAGTGGCGAGAGAGAGGAAGGGTGAGAGGAGAGTGGTCTGGGTAGAGAGTGAGCGTGATAACAAGTACCCTTTGGCTGTGCAATTTGCTTTGGTCCTGTCGATAGGATTTAGACTGATGATGTGACCAGGTCAAATTGTGGCCTCATTACTCAACTATTTAGATACTTGGATACTTTTTTTTTTCTGAACAGTATCTCACTCCGTCCCAATTAAAAAACAGTAATCAAGCTCTCTGTGGTTTCTTGGTCAGTGCCTGCGAGGGGAAACGCTGAAACGTGGTAGAGAGGAAAACGGGCGTGAAAAACATTTCTCACTGAGGCTGTGTGATGCAAAGTGGCAGCAGCTCCCCCTTTTTAAGATAGAAACGCTCCAAGCAGTGCCGTTTACAGGTCGTAAACTCTGTTACATTTTTAAATATAAAGCATTCAGCCACGTGGCTAATGGATAACTCCACAAATTGGAATCAAAATGGCTTTGGAGCTCAGGTTTACGTTGGGTTTATATCAAGGTCCCGTTCTACATTCACATGCACACAAGGGGCCGTGCTGCCTTATTAATAAGATGGAACTGTGCATTGGCTCTCATTTGAATTCAGAGGAATATTTCCATATTTGCTCATGGTAGAGACTTTCTAAAAACAGTGTGATGCACTCTAATGGCTCATTCTCAAGCTGATTTTTCTTGCTTTAGGGTTGCTGTTTTTTTGTCCCTCGTCATTTTCAGTGTTTCATATTAAGAACAAACCGGTTCTCCGGGGCCCAAATCAATGGCAGTATTCAACATACATTTTTACCTTTAAAAACTTTTTTCTTTCCCACCATTGTCCCAGTCAGATTAATATAATTTTTTGGGGAAAATATATATTATGATGTGCTACATTATTAAAAATTGTGAATTTGAATATGCTTACTAGATAAATTGTTCCAGCCTGGAAGAAAATAGTCTGTGAATAGAGCTCTTCATGGTTGATGGGTCTTGATGAAAACCAGGCAGCCGAGTTCTTTTTTTAGTGTCAAAAGGCTTAGATCATTTTAGAAATTACAAATAGTATAATTTCAGACGTGGAATAGCTCTGGGGTATTTAGTCATTGGGTTTTGAACAATGAAAATATATATTTTTTGTTCAG